TGTGTGATTTCTTTGGGACTTAACTATTGCAGGACACAAGCAAGACAAAGAAAACCTCAAACAACATAAGCCTTTATTAAAATTTCCAATTTATTTTTGTTTCACTTTTGTTCTTATTGCTACAAAATTTTTGTTTTTTCTTTATTACTTTAAAAATAATACCAATCAAAATTCCCACTTCCTCCCCTCCTCCCACTTCCCTTCCACTGTTCCCCCACACCCACCCCCCCCCCCCCCCTCCAGTCCTAAGAGAGAGCAAGGCACCCTGCCCTGTGGGAAGTCTAAGGTCCTCCCCACTACATCCAGGCTTATGAAGGTATGCATCCGAAGAGAATAGGATCCCAAAAAGCCAGTACATGCAGTAGAGACAAATGCCAGTGCCATTGTCATTGGCCCCTCAGTCTACCCCAACTGTCAACCACATTAAGATTGACCAGTTTGATCCCATGCGCGTTCAGTCCCAGTTCAGCTGGAGTTGGTGAGCTCCCATTAGCTCAGGCACATTGTCTCAGTGGGTGGACCAACCTCTCGTGGTCCTGTCTTCCTCGCTCATATTCTCCCTCCTTCTGCTCTTCAACTAGACCTTGGGAGCTCAGTCCAGTGCTCTGATGTGGGTCTCTGTTTCTGTCTCCATTTGTCACCGAATGAAGGTTCTATGGTGATATTCAAGATAGTCATCAGTCTGACTACAGGACAAGGCCAGTGTAGGCACCCTCTCCTCCACTGCTCAGGGTCCTAGCTGGGGTCATCCCCTTGAACTCCTGGGAACCCCTTAGAGGTTTTAAAATAAATTCTTTAACTTAGAGCAATATCCAAAGAAGTATTAATCTCTCTATTCTGCTTTTCTCTAGATTCTCTCTATTTTAATTCTAATTTCACGTAAACATTTTGAACACTTTCTAGCCATTATTGCACACAGAGTTCTCCTCTTCTCTCTTACTCTGGTTGAGCAGGGTGGCTTTCACTGAATGAATCACAACATCTGCCTGGGATTCAGGAAACCTCCTAGCAAGGTTAGGTCTCCCTGGGTCAGAGGGCACTAATACTAATTGCCTTGTACTTCAGAGACCGGAGAGGGCAGCCTCTGTCTATTTGTTTCTCTCTGTCTCCTTATCTCTTTTTGTCTATCTCTCTCTCCCCTCTTTCCCTCTGTCCTCCTCTCTGTGTGTTTCATGAATGGCACTACCAAGAAGCACTTTTGACATTTTCAACTTGTGATGTTTTCTCAGAACATGATTGTAACGTTGCTTGTCTTTTTGTTTGTTTGGTTTTGTCTCTTAGACTGCTACTGACACTCTCAAAGTTACACCTCCCCAAAAGAGCTGCTGCAACTCGAGCTACTTTATGTATGTTAAATATTAAGTGGAAAATTAAGGTTCATAGATGTTAAGGAATTAATCAAAGTTCACACAACCATAAAGAGGGAGAGTTGGAAAGTGAAGCCAAGTACAAATGATTGTAAAGCCAAAACTAATAACAGATTCTTGAAAATGTGCTCAGTTTCCTCTGCCTTGATTACAAACACAGGAAATATTCTGGATTAAAACTCAGTGGTAGAGCACTTTCCCAGGACACATGAGTTTCTGAATCTCACCCGTTTCACTCCTGAATATACCAGAGTGTTGTCCGTGCTCAACTTCTCCCAGAAATGAAACGAATGGAATCTGGAGGGGGGGAACAAAAGGGAGCATTTGGACTCCTGGTCCTAAGAAAATGTTACTCTATTGCAAACTGAAGATTGCCACAAGGGTGAACATTTTCCATAGAAATTCAATTTCATAAACTCTTAGAACAAGCCAAGGGAGAGAAGTGCAAGGATCGATTTGAATTTGCACAAACATTCGAGATTGTGAACCATGAACAATGTAAGTAAATTCCTTGAATTTATATTTTCATTAATACTGAGACTGTCTCCTACTTGAGTAGATTTGAATGCAGTGGCTATAGCCTTGTGTCTCCGTCACTACTCACCCAGTTTCTCCCACTTGCAGCTGCCTAAAGTGGTACCCAATTTGCACTGAGCTGTAGTTTTGAGAAGGTGGAAGACTTAACATATTGTGCGTCATCTCAAACTAAGTGAGGCTAGGGATCATTCTCAAGATGTGCCCACTTGGACTCTAATTCAGGATCACACTTTTGGTGTCATGTAGTACTGAAATGTTTGCACCAGCAGGTGTTGACTCAAGTTCTATATCTTATACATACCAAAGATATGACCCCTGCTATATGTGTCAGGAATATTAGTGATAGCAGCCAAGATGTGATCAGCAAATTGCTTCTTTTAGAGAAGGTTGATATTGTCATGGAGTCTGAGCAAAGGGACAAACTGGAGATTTAAAACTTAGATTAACTTTGATAACTCTTTTGACTTTGACCCTTATCTCAACTAAACACTCATATGCATATATCATTGGCATAATGGAAAGTGCACAAGTGTACTGAGGAAAGTCAATAATTATTAAATCTATCGAGTCACCATACTGTCTAATCATATGTCATACTATTTCTGTATGCAAAATATGGATATGCACAGTTTATTTTTCACTATTCTTTCTGTAAATATGTTCATGTGTGTGCTTGTTCATGTGTGCACAATTTGTGCACATGTGAATGGAGTCCAAAGTCATTCTCCACTTTATTTTTTGAGACAGAATTCTTTACTTAACTTAGAGCTCACTAATTGGCTAGACTGGATGATAAGATTCAGGTATCTACTGACCTCCAACACTGCCCCAGTGTTGTGCTAGGATTAGAGCTGCAGATCCTTATACCTGACTTTTATATGTGGGTGCTGGGATCTGAACTTAGGTCCTCATGTTCACAGATGGCAATCGCTTTACCAACTGAGTCATCCTTCCAGTCCCAATAGAAAATTTAAAAGTAGTTGGAAACAAAGGGTTGAAGATGAAACTCTAGTAGAAAATTTGCCTAGTATATGCAAGGCTCTGGGTTCAATTCCCAACACTGCAAAAAACAGAGTAAATGGGAATAACAAGTCCAGCTTTAAAGAGACGTATTTGCACTGCTGACCATCTTGACACTTGCATGTAATTTCAGTGATAGTTTGAGACCATAGATTATTGCCCACTGTTTTGGGCAAGAACTGTGCTACTGTGATCTTACAGTAAATAATTTTTTATATGAAGGCTGCTTACTTTGGAATATAGAACAATAGTAACTATAAACTTTGACTCTTTTTAATGGGCTAAACTTCAGAATTATAGTTCTTTTTGTTATAAATAAAAGTTTATTTTGCATATAGGTCTACTCTTGTATTTTCACCTTTGTTCCATTGTATTTTACATTTCTTCATTGTTGCCCACCAGCCTGAGTACTGGAACTTTATCATAACTCTTGATATCTAGTAAGTAAAGAACCATTCTGTTTTACACTATTGTTATTAAATTATTATTGGGGTTGGAGGCTCCTTATTTTTCACAGCTACATGAATGGAACAAACCTCACAAATTGTAAAATATTGGGCTGGTGATATGGCCCAGTTGGGTTCCATCTCAGCCATGCAAAAATTTTATATTTTGGCAGACCTCTGATCCTTGTACTTGGGAGCTGGAGGCAAGAGGATCAGGAGTTCAAAGTCCTATAGTGGGCTGAAGTGTCAGTTAGGTTACATGGCATCCTTTGTCAAAGCAAACAAATAAAACAAAAATTAATAATAGCAACAGTAATATGAGGAACAGGAAGTGATACCCTCTATTATTACAGTTCTTGTGCAGACTTTTAGTATTGAGACCCTTAACCTTGTAAGTATTTCTGTTTTTGTGTATGTTGTATAGGCATAGGAAGTAGAGGATGTTCAGCCTTCCTCTGTGGTTAGACTTGAAGATCCAAGGTGGGATCGGATATTGATATGTCTCATCCCTTGGCAGCAGCCAGTGTTATAGGTCTTATGTAGGCTTAGGAAGTAGGGGGATTTCTTAGTCATTAATACGAACCAGCATTAGAGCTCTTAGCCCAAGACTGGGAACACCTTTAACATAAAGACTTGATTGCTCTATGTAACTTTTCTGGTGTCCAGAGACAGTTGTTTCTTCTGTATGACACCTTACAAGTCTGTACGCTTATACAGCCTCGGGTTTATTCTCTTTCCCGATGCTTCTCTTCTTCTGCCCTTCTTTCTGCCCTAGCCACTCTTGAACGGTTCAGTTACTTTCTTTCTGTAGCAGTGTAGACAACTGCCTTGATGAACCCACAATTCAATCTGTTGATACCTCAACTGCCACTGCTGCTCTGCTGCCCCTTTCGTCACTTTCCTGCCTCTGAGGATTTATCCCTTGGATACCATCTTATCTCATATGAGGAAAAGGAGGCAAGAAAATATCACGTGAGGAGGATGGGGAAATGGTTCTATGGTTAGGAACACTTGTTGCTCTACCAAAGGACTCAGGTTTGGTTCCCAGTAACCACATAAGAGTTCACAGTTATTTGCAACTGCAGTTCTAGGCGATTCAACACATTCTTCTGACCTCTACATCTACCAGACTCTACATGTACCAGACATGCACATGGTACACAAACAAAATATTTACAAAATAAAAGTTATTAATATGTTCAGACATAGATATATTTAAAAGATCACTTAAGAGAAACCTTTCATTTGGCCTGGTGCTATAAACCAGGAAAGGCAGTAACTGATGAATGTCTCCCTTGCTACTCATTGAACCCAACTGCTTTGTTTTGTGAAACCAGTCATGATCATGGAGACTTATATTTTAGATCAATTACAGCCTTGCCACTTACCACCAATCACATTCATAATGATTATGTTTTTGGATAAATCATGACGGTGACTTGTAGGACCAATCATAGTCACTGAAGTTTATATTTTTAGACCAATCACGGCCTTGCTCTTAACAGAAATCACAGTCATTTAAACTTGTGTTTTGACCAATCACAGCCTCACCACTTAGGAGCAATTACAGTCAGCAGATATTATGTTCTCAGCCAATCTCATAGGCAGTGCGTATTCTATAGTTGCCCGGATACAGTAAACATAAGAGCACTTGGCTTTGAGTGGCTGGTAAGGTAAGGTGAAGGCAATTGGTACTGTGCTGTAAGGGCACAAATATTGGTTTTTTTTTCTGTTTAATCTTGTACCGGTCATTGAGACAGTGATGGTGAACTCACCAAATGTAAACTGTGAATTTGATAATTTCCTATTTCAGTTACATCAGTGTTCAGTTTAGTCTGAAGTTGTATAGTCAAGTGGATACCTGTAGGTGGTCTTTAAGCTTAGTTTTCTAACTTGATCTTTGTGAAATATCTCTCATTTTCTCAAGTAATACCGTTTATAGCACAGTTCACTATCTCTAATAACACATACCATACATTGGCAAATAGGGCCAGACTGGCTGTATTTTTAAATACCGACAAGTTTTATCATGATGGCTATCTGGTATAAAACCGTGAAGGATGAACTAAGATGAATAACTAAGAAAGAATAGATGAGAAACTGAAGAATGGGGGTATAGAAGAAAGGAGATAGATGGAAGTTAGTTAGATATATGATAGAGGAGAGATATGGGATGAATAAATGATTAAGAGATTAGATCATAGACAGAGGGTAGCTAGGGAATAGCAGTAATGACAATGGAAGATAGGATATCTAGATGATAGATGATAAGTGGATGGAGATAGATACAGGATAGGTGACAGAAAAGTGGGAAATGGGCACAGGATAATTGAAGATAAATGGCACATGGATGGTAGAGAGATGCAGGGAAGCTAGAGAATAGGTGGTAGAGAGATGGGAAACAGACACAGAGTAGCCAGGAGACAGATGAAGGATAGATAAGTGGCAGACAGTTGCATGAAATCTAGATAATTGATGACAGATCACAGAGATCCAGGCCAACTAGATGATAAATGATACATTGATGGTTTAGAACACAGGATAGCTAGAGGACAGCTGATAGATAGCAGACAGTTACAGGAAATCTAGATGATTGATGATAGATCACTGAGATACAAGACAGCTAGATGATAAATGATACATGCATGATATAGAACACAGAATAGCTAGAGGATAACTGATAGATAGATAGCAGACAGTCACAGGAAATCCAGACAATTGGTGATAGATAGATCACAGAAATTCAGGGTAGCTAGATGATAAATGATACATGGATGGTATAGAACACAGGATAGCT